GTTGGGTGCTGTAGGGGGAAACACGGCCGCGCCTGCCCTGGAGGGTCGGGTGCGCCAGGCTGTCTGCGGTCGTGTTGACAGAAGCGTTGGGAGCGAAGCGAAAGGACGCGGTGAGCGGTGCAAAGTTCGCGGGGACTGCGGAGTGAGAGCGGCTGCCGATGGGCGACACCGCCGAGAGAAGAGAGACAAAACTTGGTTAACTTGGCTCTCCTTCCTCCCAAACTCAGCGAACTCCTCGGAGCTGTTTGGGCGTTGCCGTGTTTCACAGTTGCCTTACAGACTTCGCTTGTTTTGGGGTGTTTGGTCGCTGATTAGCCAAGCTCGAGCTCACAGCTTAGCAGAGCTCGAATTTCCTTGATGTAAACGTTGTCACACCCAGCCAGCCTCTCCGGTCTGTGCTGGAGCTTCAACACAACGCTGAAGGCGTTGGGCTCTGTGTGCCCGGCGCTGGGACAATAGTTGCTGTGAAGTATCTCTGCAGAAGTTAAATGTCTTGTCTCACTAACCAAGCCGGGGGGGTGGGAGTTTCTCAGCAGTAATGCTGAAGTTCATATTACTCATAGTGACCCTGGCAGGGGTAGCTGTTTGAATCATATGATGAGAATTTTGGTGTGAGCCCTAGCTAGACCAAAATCTCGGTATGTAGGCGTTTGTCAGTTTAAATACACTTGGATGTTCGTGGGGATCCTTAGCATCTATTTCATGACTTAATTCACAGGCTTGGCCCTTTCAAAAACTTAGTGCCTTAACTGTGTAATACATAAGGAAAATATTATGAATATTGAGGGTTTCGATTATTTCACTCTGAAATTTACTCTAAACCAATTTGCTTGGGGTCAGAAACTGTTACACATAGCCATTCTTCTTTTCTGGGCTTCTGCAGTACAACTTTCTTTCTTTCCAGGGAATTAAAGCTTGAAGTAAAGTAACATGAGATTTCAGTTTTCTAATTGCTGCTTTTCCTATCAACGTACAAAATGTTTCCTACTCCTAATACTTTAAAGGGTATGAGAAGAATGACTTCCCTTACATGTGGAGCAGTTTTCAGGCACTGTCTGGAGGAATAATTGCACGTCTTTGTCTCCCCTTAAAGGGTTTGGTGTTAGCAGTTGGTGTTGTAATTCATCAGTCAGGTGCAATGTATTCATTCTTCAGTGCTGCGTAGGAAAACAGATTCTCCGATTTTGGGTATCATTTTCACCAGTTAAGTTTTTTGCAGAGTACTGCAAGAGTGGTTAGATGATGGCCAAGACATGAAAATAATCCTGTGGGTTTTGCTGCAGAGGCAGTCAGTGTTAATATGATCCTGAGTCAGCCAGCCTTGATACCTGTGATGATGTAACTCAGACTCATGATAGGAAGTGGTGTTAGATTATTCTTTTCCTTCTATTGGTTTTCAGTTTCATTTCAAAGAAGATTAATTGTTGAGACTAAAGATAGATACAATGTGGTGTACTTGGGAGTCTGTACTGCAGCTTAGAAACTGGTTTCACTACATTACAGCATTTCAAGCACAGGAGGAGACAGTCTGGGGGGAAAATAATGCTGCCTGAAAAAAGAAATAGGATACTGTCTTGACAGAGTTCTGAACTCTTGACACATTTGAAACAAGCTAGTATAGTGATTTTACCTGTAGTATAAGTGGCAGAAATATCACTGGGGGTTTTGGTTTGGTTGGAATTTCTTACATATTTCAAAAACCTGAACACCTGTAGTATAAGTGGCAGAAATATCATTGGGGGTTTTGGTTTGGTTGGAGTTTCTTACATATTTCAAAAACCTGAATTTCAGGAACACAGAACTATCTGGAGCCAAGAGTTTTCTCAGTCATTTGTCAGTAACAAAAATACAGAATAGCTACTGTTGTGATAAGCCTTAGGAAATGTTCTTTAGAAACTATTTTTAGAAGTTCAGGATTATAGACTAGATGGAATTCTCTAGTGGGAGGTGTTTGTTCACAAAGTTTATGTTCTCTGACTGAAGAATGGGGATGGGAAAACAATTCTCTTTTGACTTGTCTTTTAAACTGTTTGGGCTGTAAGTGCTCTGTTACTATCAGTTTCAAGGAAATCTGTTTATAAACAACAGGATGTAAGAGAAAGCCTTCTATGAGAGATCTTTAAAATCATTTCATATAGGATGTAAGAGAAAGCCTTCTATGAGATATCTTTAAAATCGTTTCAGAGATCTGTATTTTATTTCTGTTATCCACTTTACAGGCAGTATTTACTTTCTCACCTGTATTTTATTTCTGTTATCCACTTTAGAGGCAGGATTTACTTTCTCAAATTTCTTACTAAGTTGGCTTTATTTTCTAATGTGCTTGTCCATGACTGACCTAACCAAAACTAACTGAATATATTAGCTTTTCACAACCACTCACTCTGCTCTCTTTCTTCTTTTAGGAGTATATCAAGGGACTCTGTGAACCTGAACTAGAAGAAAAGGAGTACTACCCAAAGGACATGCACTGCATCTTTGTTGGTGCACAGAGCCTGTTTCTCTACAGTCTGATTCAGGATACCTGTGCTGACATAACAGTGCAGGAAATGGGGTTGCTCAGTATTAAGGGGGGTGCAGAAGCTGTTGTTATGGCTCAGAGTCACGTTCAGCAGTTTGTGAAGCTTTTTGAGAATAACGAAAGCTTATTAAATGACAACGAATCTGAGATTAAAAAGCAATTCAGACAATTTGTGGAAGCACATGCAGATAAATACACAATGGATTTACTGATTTTGCCTAGTGCACTAAAAAGAGAGCTCCTAGCTCTCACCCAGCCTGACTGTGGTGAAGTGGAGAGCAGTGTCATAGATCTTACAGGTTCTGAGAGTCCAACAGAGCTTGTGCACAACAGTGCCTCCAAAGTAGTTGCTACAAACAGAGATGAAAGGGCAAGTGGTGAGGAAGCAAGGAACAATGCTGGCACACCTGTGACTGAGCTTACCAAACAAATGGACACTGTGCTTTCTGATGCTTCTGAAACAAATTTTGTTCCTATAAATGATGTGTCTCTGCTAGGGGCAGAGGCATTTAAAGACAGGCATTCATGTAAAAGGAGATCTTCTGATCATGAGGATAGGCTCCCTAAAAAGCATTTCTCTTTGGAAAATGATCAGCAGGTGAAATCTGCTTCACACAATGATCCTTCAGACAGCGATGCAGTTTTTGTTCTTTCTGATGACTGCAGTGAATCAGCTGATCCTGCTTACTGCCTTAAAGAAGGTGATGATATCAGTGAGGAAAAGGAATATAAGATTCTTGTGAACTTTTTCAGAACAATGGGATATTCCCAAAATATTGTAGAAAAAGTTATTGGTATCCTCGGACAATCTGTGGAACCATTAATATTGCTAGAAGAAATCGAAAAGGAAAACTTAAAATTTCAGAAAGAACATGGACAATCATCTCAAAAGCCTAGAACTGTCAGTCCTCCCTTAGGAAACAATGCAAATAATTCACAGAAGCTGGAAGACAAAGGCATTTCTAGGAATAAAAGTCCACTTAAATCCAGTCATACTTCAAAGGAGACAAATAATGAATATCACAAAGTAAGAGATGTACCACACTTGCAAGTGGATGGAGAAGATAAAATTCATACATCAGTATGCAAACCTGCTCCCCCTTTCAGCAAAAATTCAGCTGTGGGCTGTAAACAGAGAGACACTTGTTGCCCTGGTAAGAATGACAGTTCTAGGTCAAGTGATACAGAAACTGATGGTGATGTAGCTTTCGTCAGTGTACAAGGTGGAACTCCGCAAGATGTTGACTTTATAGCCAGAGGGAGCTCAGATGGGCAGCATGTCTCAACAAAGAGCAAAACTGCAGTTCAGCAGAAGTCTGCAGGGCCCTCAACTGTACTGAACAGTCATCCTGTTTCTGAGGACCCACTGGGACACTGCAGCTCTTCTCAAGAGAGAACCAACCAACGCCTTTCCCAAACCACTAATTGTGACAGTCCTACCCCAGACCACTTACTGTCTTCACAAAGACATCCTTCAGATCCTGGTAGAGACACAGTGGGACCACACAGACGTCATCCTGACCCTTCAGTCACTGGAGTTCAAAGGTTTTTGGACTCTCTTAAGAAGCCATACAAACTGGAGTTGAAAAATGAGCCTGGGAAACCATATTTAAAACATATCATTATTGACGGAAGCAATGTTGCAATTTCGTAAGTATTGTTCTTTTCAGCTGTCTCTTAACATTTCAGATGAAATGGAGGCCAAGAGGTTGCAGTGGCATGTGTAAAGTTGCTGCTGGTTAGCTTTTTGGTGAGCACCAGTCCATGTGCACTGCAAGGTTTTCCAGCTGCTGGTACTGGCTGCGTTGGCAACTTTGGCAAAGCTTCATCATGAAAAACTAAGTGATATTGACAGTAGCAATCTTCATTTCCAACACACAGCAGTTTTGTTTAGTGACAGCATCCATTTTAAGGAGTGCCCTGTTTGGAGATACTGTGCTCTGTTGAGATACTGTGCATAGAAGGAAATTCAGAAGTTGTTAGCAGGTGAACTGTGTGGCACTCCAGTACACAGATCCAGCTAGAAGAGTGTGGTTGTGGGATATTCTATCATGAAACAGTTCTTGCAGAATCTTTTGGTTTAAAAAATAGTCTGAAGTTGAGAAAATGCGATAACTGGTTCAAGTAGGGTAAGTAGAATTCTTGATTTCGACTTATAAATTGGTTGGTAGTTGCAGTACTCTGGAAAATGTTTTCTATAAAGCTTTTTAGCTTTCTTGCTCTGGTAGAAATTGGTGGATTTGCAAAAACAGGTACCTTGGATTAATAAAAAACATTCTGAAAAAAGCTTGACTAGTATAGGCTATGAAAACTAAGATATATGGTAGTGGTAGATGTGATCCTTTTGGATAACAAGATGTTTCAAAGTGGAAAGTGAATTAATTTTATAGCATTTCTTACTTGGCAGCAATCACATTTGAAGCCTGAATTGTGCCATCTGAGAGTAACCTGCCTTGAGTTACCAGAGTTCAGCTCAATGGGACACTTCAGTCTGAAGTAATTTCAGGGGAGCTCAGATTGTTTGCAGCAATTTTGTGCACGAAGCTTAATTTGCTTTGCACACACCTAACAAAGGGGTTAAATTATTGTCAAGCGTTTGGGGGTTTTATTTGCTCTTCACATCTCGTAATATTAAAGTGGAGGTTCTCATCTAGTAGTGATATTTGTACTTTCACAGCATCACACGTTAGTGCTTGGGTCTGGTCACCTTGTGCAGGTCTAAGCGTGCAACAAAAGTATTCCACTCCTCTGGGCAGAGCTTGCAGGGTAGGGAACCCTTTGTCTGTGTGCACATACCTCCTCTCCTATTGCCCCTGATACCTGAAAGAATGTATGCAAACAATATGAGACAATTACAGGGCTGTTGAGTAATTTTAACAGATTGCCTGACAGGGCACAATGTCCTTTTCATACTGTTGGTCTGCACAGTTCACAATGGAAAGATGGAGAAATCCCTTTCATTGGCTTTGATGCAGGGATTTTCCTATTGCAAACATCTTCCAAGTACTTTTGTTTCAATGTTTCTGTTGTAGACAGTTTTGGAGGCTGTTGCAATTACATTTTTTCATATTATTTTTGTTTGTTTTAACTAACTGGAATAGCAACAATCAGAACTTAGGTCTCTCTTTAAAATGTTGTGCTTCGCTTGGTTCTTTTTAACTTTTGTCTCGCCAAAACTATGCTTGAATGTGTTCCAGCTAGGTCACTATTTTTCCCCATTCAGGACAAAACATACATTTTTTTTAAAGATGATGACCTTCAAATGCAATGAAAGCACCAAGGGCCCAGTAATACAGAAACATTTGTAGTTAATCTAGAAAGTCTCTGTAGCACAGACAAAGCATTGGAAGATTTTGTGATATGTGACCTCTATTACCAAGCAGTCATTAATTGAAGAAGATGCTGATCATCCTTATGACTTGGTTTCCCCAGGTTCAGGACCCAGAGCTAGTCCCCCAGGACTGGCAAAAATAAAACTTCTCCAGTTAGTCACTGGAGAGTTAAGGTTTTGTGTCATTTATAGCCTTGCTAACTTTAAAGGGGAAGCCTGACACGGTTCATAGCTCTTGACACTGCTTTAATTCAAGTACAGTGTTTTGCTACAGTAAAGAGTTTTTTTAAGCAAACATTTCCTCATTGTTCACACTGCTGTTTAGAAGATAGTGATGCAAAAGTGCAAGTTGCAGCTGAGTCATAAGCTACCTTGACCTTTTAAAAATGTGTGTTAGTGGAAGCAAAATGCAGATTGTTTGGATCATTTGGGAAATAACAAGTGCACCACATCCTCTTTGTCTTTTTGTTGAATATGGAGAGATCTTTTTTCATCTATTTCATCTGTGGGGTTTTGTGTCTGTGTTTAACAGCAACCAAATACAGCTGAAACAGGTGAATTAGAAGATGGTGCATAAATATCTCAGATCTGAAGTGAAGTCATTGTTAGGACTGTAGTGAACTCTATGGCATCACTTTGGAAATGTTAAGTACTCAGTGATAAGTGGTGCTAAACCCTTTGCCTCCATATCTTTGCACCCTCAGCCCCTTTTGCATTCCAAGCTTCCATCTAAACCATTTCAAAGTGCTTCTAATTTGGTCTTCCTTTGTACACTTTAGCCCATGTAGTAAGTAAGAGTGAATGTTACCATAAACTCCATAAAATCTTGTTTAAACAAGTTCAGATTAAGCTCTGCTTTTGCCAGTACCTGTGACTGTTTCTGCCATCAGCCAAACCACTCATTGGTGACAGTGCTTAGTTTAGTTACAAAAACCAAAGGGAAAATGTTACATGGCCCAGAAAACAACTTGCTGTTTGCTGCTTATGATGATCCAAATTCAGAGAACCTTAATAGATTTTTAAAGGAATTTACAAAATTGGAAAGGCTAAATGAATGCTACTAAAGGCTGAGTTTCACTGTAAAATATTTCCATGGAAATCTTGTAAGGACCATTCTGTTGGGAAGATTTCTTGGTAGGATAAACTGGGGTTTAAGGGTAAGATTCCCTTCAAAACTAGCAAGGTTTACTGTTGGGCTTGTAGTATGCAATTGCACATTAGCTAGGAGACAGGTTTGAAAGATGAGTATCATTGCTCACTTATTTTAAGCACTACACTAAGTACTTCATCTAACTCAAAACAAAGACTATGCACTATTTTGCAAGAAATGCTTTTCCTGAATCAGTGCCTTCTCTAGCAAAGCATATCTTTGTTTAGTCTAAGTGTAGCCTTTAATCTATGAAAGTGCTGGGGGAAAAGTTTCTGAACAAACACTGGATTTAGCCTTTATGTCAGGTGCTAATAGGTGTCTCGTAGGCATTTTCTCTGGAGGAATTTTTGATTCTATCTTCTGTGCTTTATTTTAAGATTCTTTTTCCATTATTCCCCAGAGACTCAATTCCCACAGTCTGGTTAGACAGTGAATTGCTAAAGGAGGTGATTGTATCATTAAATAGGCACATAGGTCATTGGGATCATTCCAAGTGGGAGGGACTTCACAAGGTCATCAACTCAAATCTTTGGATCCCTCTTATTAGGCAGTTGCTGATTTTTCTGGAAAGTCACTTCTGTGATTTGTAAAACAACTGTTAATGAACATCTTATATTTTTAAATAGAGGAAAGGTATTAGCACTAAAAATACAATGTTTTGGAAATCTGTCTTCAAAGAAATGTCATTATTTTGCTCCAGAGCTGTAGCTCAGACTGTTGAAGTGAAGGGAGAGGAGGCCCTAATACCTTAGACTGTCAAAGAACTTTGCAGATGTAATTCTTGGTAATCAGCTGAACCAGAGGTGTTCCACTTTGTGGAACTACCACAATGTGGGGTTACTATGAAGTCTCTGCTCAGTAGGTTTCAGAAACCATCATTGGCCTTTTTAGAGCTAAACACTTCTGATTACTCCAATGTTGTGCCCAAGAAACTGAAAGGAAACTGAGATGAAAAGTTGCAGAGTGATCTGTACCATCCGCCTTTTCTTTTGCTGAGGCTGCCTGTAACTTTCAGTCTCACTGCACAAGGTTTCATTCAGTTTTCTTTGTACTCACAGTAGTAAAACCCTAGTGAATTTAATCTCCTTTCTTTCACCCCCAGTCATGGCCTGAGGAAATTCTTTTCCTGCCGAGGAATTGCAATAGCTGTTGACTACTTTTGGAAACGTGGCCACAGAAATATTACTGTCTTTGTTCCCCAGTGGAGAACGCGACGTGACCCTTTCATTACAGGTGAGAGAAATTGCCTGATGTTTCCTTAATTAAACCAGATGGTAACTATTTCTTTGGACAATTCCTTGCAGAATGAATGGAGAAGGAATACTTGATAAAATGTTCAGTATGAGCACTCTGAATGCTCAGCATGAGTAATTTGCTTTCCATACAGTGTGAGACACTGAACTGCTGTCTGGGTAACTGCTGTGCCCTAAGTGGAGACCTTTAGGTTGGGGTTGGGTTTTGTTTAATTTCTAGTTGTGACCTATTCCACCCCATTTTTATAATATTGACAATTCTTCAGCTATCAATGTAATTTCTGTAGATTAATTGGTAGAAAAATAGCCCATCTCCTCTGCTAATTGTATCTCAGACTAATTGTCAAATCATGTTTTAACAGAGCAGGATTTCTTAACACAGCTCCAGGATGTTGGAATATTGTCTTTAACTCCTGCAAGGATGGTTTTAGGAGCAAGAATTGCTTCTCATGACGACAGGTACAGAATATATAGTTTTAAAGTCTTTTTAAATATTTGCCTAATGGTTGGTAAAGCTTAATACTTTGTGAATGGCTCCATTAGCTAGTCCTGCCACCTCTCTAGATAGAGCTGTGCATCCAGCTGAGCTCTGCATCTGTTCCATTATTTAACTGTTGTAAGAAACACTCCTATATACATACTGTGTTCAGAAAGTCATGGAAAAAGGCAAATTTTCATAGTGAATTTTAAACCAAAAAAAAGGTACATTTCAAGTGTCATCACTTGTATTGAGGAAAAAAATTAATCTTTCAGTAATGTTTTTATGCTTTCCTGATCATGAGTCTATCCTCAAATTGCCTTTTATGTTTGGGGCATAAATCAGCTACTGATTAGGTGCTATTCAGTTCCATTTTTCTCTCGATGCTGTGGTGACTTACAGACCTTGCTGTGTATTTGGAGCAGTGCATTTGTACCAACTGAATTCACAAGTGAATTTGAGCACCAAAGATCAAAATGTGGGGATCATCTTTCAGTGGCCAAGGCAACAAGCTCTGGGAGTTTGTGTTGCAGGACTTCCCTCGTGCTTACATTGCTATTGCCAGATTTTCCCAGT